GCACAGTTAAACTTTTATACACCTTGTCAACATCTTAGAACACGGAATTTATTTTCTGAAAAATTGTGCATAATAAACTATTGAAAAAAAGCCCAATTAATCGAATTATACGCCTGTATAATTTGCATTGTGGAACTATTTACATCGCTATGTCCAAGCAGCAAATAAAACTTAAGCTAAAACAGAATAGAATTAAGGTTCTACAAAGGGTCAGTAATTTTGTATTCTTCTTCTTTTTTTTAAATATCATTCAATCATTATCATTAGTTTACGCACACATTCATACATTAGAAATACGAAAATTTAAAAATGTATTTCATGATTTTAGATCGAAAATTTCCTGGGTAAAACACATTCACTGTATTTACTTATTTATGTTCTTCGAAGTATAGCACAATTACACGCAATCGAATACACGAAACTCAAAACGACTGCTTCACAAAACTCTTGATGAACAAGAAAACCACTTCAACTTTACTGCTTTGCTAGCAATCGTGAAAGTATTATTGAAAAAGCGTTGCCAGATGTATAGCCTCTAGCAATGTATTTAAGTTTATAAAAAAAAAACAAGTAATTGCGAAGCTTGACTCATTAACATACATGAGTGGATGTATTTAATGGTGAATAAATATCAAAAACTGAATAAATAAAACAAAAACTTCAATTTTAGACATTTACCGGTCCAATTAAAAAAGTCACAGAAGATTGAATTAATCACTAACAGGAAAGATGGCAGCAGTGCACCTAACCTGTGATTCGCTTTTCCTCTCATGGCGGTAAGCTCCAACTCGGATCAACATTTCATACTGGTCCTGATTGAAGGATGTGCCAAATGTTTGTTAAGGATCGTATCGATAAACATCGACATCGACACCATAACAGCTTGACATTCTTGATCAGGATTTAATCCGAGGATAATACCGTTAGGAGCTTTCCACCATCAGGGGTGCACACACAATTTCATGCAGCGAGGTCTGGCAATATGATTGTTTTGTCTACCTGTACTTATGCACTAGGTAGTGTCAAGTGTGACGTCACATTTGCAGTTGTAGCGAATTGAAGGAAGAAAAGAGATGGTTAAACTTTCCTCACCATACCAGTTGATATATATGAAACATGGACAGTTTGGGCGTGGTGACATGCACTTCCAATGAATTTTACCAATACATTTAGAAAATGATGATCGAAGAATATTTCAAAAATAAGAAGAAGGCAAATTATTTACCCTTTGTACAGCCTCTAATTTAGGCCCATACATAAATTCAGCAATCGACTAAATTTTCAATAGCCACCAAAAATATCCATTAGTACCGTTTCAATGACGCGTTCATCTAGATAAAATTGATAAAAAGCAGATTTTTAGCGATGGACCCAATCTTCCATAGGCCAACATAAGAGCCATTTACCCTATGTAGTCAACATTGGCTTGACGAAATGAATAAATAAATAAATATCAGCTTGATATGATTTAATCTAAAAAAAAAGTACCTTTTATTTATTTTTATTTAACGTCGGTCTCTGTTCCGCAATTGAGTGCCAATCACCGACGAGCGTCGATTTCCAATAAGTGATTAATTACCGACGACAATGAAGTGCCACGGAGGTGACTTATACACTTGGAACCTATCAAACCCAGCAACACCTGGAACCTATCGAACCCCATTCCGATGGAATACTTGACCAGACACTGTGTGGTGAGACTGCAATAAAGCTAACCACTCAACCACCGGCGCCATTCAGACCCACTCAACAAATTTTTGGATGAATTATAGTCTTCTGAACCTTATAAAACTCTTCAAGACCGTAATAAAACCTAAATTGTTAATCGGGCAACTTACCTTCATAACATGAAATAATACTTACATACTTGCGAATTCATGCGATAATCCTATCATCGAACGATCAAAGTTTAATCCTACTAAAATCCAGTCATGCTTACCACTCAACCACCGGTGCCGTCAAAACGACATTTGTTTTTTGCAATTACAGGCCTGGAAGCGGTTAGTGCCCAAGAAAAAAGTGACTTAGTGACCAAATAGTTTAAAACGTTACTAAAAAGTGGGAATCGGAAAGTAACCAAAACAGAGGCAATAATTGAAATATATGATCATCTGAAGACTATCAATCTTGGGAAAATATCTAGAGACGCCATTTGTTTTTTTTAACAGTTTAAGATCTTCTGAATAGTATTTGGTCAACTTGAAGTCTTGAAAACATATCCAGATGACTTTTTTGAAATATTATTGAATTTAAGTGAACATCGACGAAGCTTGAATTTCTACAACGTTCCTGTACTCTAAAAAAGTTACTTGAATCAACACTATGAACTAAAACGAAACTTCTTTACAATTGAGCTTATCCGAAGTTCCCTATTTGAAGTTCCCTGAACTTGAGAAAGGTTAAATATATTACCGAAAGGTTATTTACCGTCGGAAGTGAAACCGTTTTAGCTATTGTTAAGACTGCCAAGTGAGTTTCTATCGAGATTCCTGTCATTTCATAATTTCCTATAACTCATAAAATATACATCTTCGAGAAAAAAAAAACTAAGTTTCTCGAAGTTCACTGAACTTTTTGCTTGATCCATATTTTTTTTAAAAGCTCTCATAATTCTACCTAACATTCAGAATATTCATGATTTCGTCCAAACTTCCGGGAAGACTTTAAAACAATTTTGAATTTTGCTGAACAACTTTCCAAAACGAAGTTGCAAAAACTTCCAGGAAGTTCATTGAGCTTTTTTGAAATAAATTATCTAATGAACTGTTACGAAGATCGATAATAAGCCCTGAAGTTCAAAAGAAGTTTACTGAACGGTAGTTCATGCTTGTCTATGAAATTATTTGAACTCCTAAGTTGTACTACAGTAGCCACTACAAATTTGTTTTAACTTCTACGCAGTTCCCTAAAGTTAAAAAAACAACCTTATACTTATCAAACGAACTTTATTGAATTCCTATGTCCTTTGATGATAATACCCCTTAAATCAAAAAAGTTTTTACAACTATTGCAAAGTTCCCCCTTTTATGAAGATTTCTTTTTTTTTGTATCAAGCGGAGCTGCGTGACAGCTTAGTTCTCCGCAGACGTAGGCGCGTTGATTCCGACAGCCGCCAAGGGTTTAACCTGCACCAAAACCGCTTAAAGAACGACCTCGAGTCAGTAAAACCGTTTAGAGATAAACATCTAAATTACGGAAGATACGAAAATCGCGCAAATTGCGAACGCCGTGCGAAACAACCGTAGAGAAAAAACAGCTTATTATCACATAAAAAGTGCCACCAAAATAAATATGATAGCCTATGTGGCAAGTTGATTAACTTTGGTTTCCTCCCTAGATATTCTACTTATTTTACTAGTGAGCTTTGTTTCAGTTTAGTTATTTCACGGCACGAATTAATCATTTCAAAATTTCGCGACCGTACCGAACAAATTCTAAACTACATAAGCTCAAAAAACATTTGGCAAGCTCTACCGAATTGCGAATCAGTTCAGCGTAAGCTCCGTAGACGTAGGCGCGTTGAATCCTACAACCGCGAAAAGTTAAACATGCATCAATACCACATAAGGAAAGATCGATTTTACAGTCACGTAGGGTTCAGTTCACAGATTAACATTGACTGCTGTTTACAAATGCTAGTACTTGAACACTAAGAAATAAGTTAACTCAAATGCTTTAACCGCATATAACAGAGATTTCGCGTATTGAGAGAATAATACACTAATCGAGTACAATAAACTCAGGGAAAAACAATACCTACAAAAGATTGAAAGTTATCAATTGTCACATTCCTCTACTTTTACTTATTTCCTAAACTATTCCTCTCCTTGTTAATTTGCTAAATTGTTTTTTTTTTTCCGTCGATCTTGTTTTCCGTGCTGAGCACCAATACTACCGACGTGCCAGGAAGGCAGCTCCCACACCTGGACCTTGACCCATCAACTCATGAACCGGGGACCAACGGCTTTACTTCCCATCCGAAGGAAGGCGTGATCAGAGATGTTATGCCTCAGAACATCCCGGCGGCGCCGACTGGGATTGAACCCAGGCCTGCTGGGGTGAGAGGTAATCACGCTTACCACTACACCACCGGCGCCGTTAATTTGCTAAATGCTATTGGTTTGCTTGCGTTTTCTTATTGAAGTTCAAGACTAAATAGGAGAATTTATTATACAACTTTAAAGGTTGGTTGCCTCCCTAAGCGGACCCCCGCATCCAAATTCTTTTGTTAATCTACCTTATGTTATTAGACTTTCTGAATTTTCTTATTTAAGTTCGTTTGATGATTATGATATTTCATTAGTCTAATTTAATAAATAATTGAAATCTCTAATTCACCTAATCAATCACAGCCCATGCTTTATTAAGTACCTGCACTTGTGCTTGTAATCTAAAACTAAACGTGTTTCATGTACTTTTGATTTTGTCCTATACCTATTTATTATATCTTAGTTCGACCCAAGTGACACCTTCAAGTGACTAAAATGCTTAACTTGGAAGTTAGTTTGCTAGCTGATTTTTAAATTATATGCTCCAACTATGCTCACACGCTTCCACTATGTCGCATCACAAAAATACGTATGAGTATGTCACAATAGAAGCACCCCACAGTGGAAATCCCGAGCCATAGTTCAAACACTTATCCCAAATCAAAATGAAGCACATATAAGATTAGTTACAATACCATGTACAAAAATGGTGTTTAACATTGTTCCCTGAGTAATACCTCAATGAAAACAACAAAGTACGGAGTTAGTTAAGCAAACAAAAGATCAAATACTTAACTTTGTAGTTCATATTCCATAAGTTAGTGTTTTATCACTGGTAACTGATTGCTTATAAAGGGCCACGTTGACGTAAATTTTACAGTTAGACAATAGATTTAGCTGTCAGCTTGCCGCATCGCGTCAGATCCGGATCTAATGCGGGTGGCCCTTAAGAGTCTGCGTTTGTGGGACTTTATTTTCGGTATGCTATAGGGAATAATTGAAAAAAAAAAATTGTTTCACGTCCACCAGCGAATCTGCTTATGAATCACAGTAAAGAATGTCGTTTAGTAGGAGGCCACATATCTTTAACTTTTTATGCCAGCCCACGCTGCTTATAATAACAAGTGTGCGAGCGAGTTTCACAGTATAAATATTGTTTCCAATATATTTACTTTTTTGCCGGCGACCCAAAAAAAAAAGAGCAGAACCTTACGTAATACCAGATGAAAAATCACACCTCACCACAGTACTGCCTTCTCGCTTCGTTACATCTAGCTCTGCAGTGGCCTCCGTACCTCAACATTAATAAAATTGCTCATAAAAACCGAAACAATAATAAAAACCTTCAAAGCGATCTTGCTCTTGACGTTTGCTTCGGAGAATTTTCACAATATTTATTTATCGTTAAGCTATTGTTTTATGCTTAGGAAAAATGCATCCAAAATCTAACTTAGAAGTTTGAATTTCTTAACATACTTTTGAACGTCCTCTTTCCGGTAGGGCTTCAGTGCAATGCAGGTGGGTATATTTTCTGGCTGTTCGATCCATACCTTATGCTTGATGTCGTTCTGCAGGAGCACCTCACCCAATCCATTCAATTTGCCAGCATCCGGAGCCTAAATAGAGCAGAAATAGAACACGAAAAAAAAAAATATTACCACTGGTGAAACATTTCGCATTCAAACACGGTTCGAAAATGAAACCTTCTTTTATGAAAGATCGTTTTCTGTTTATAAATAGCCGGTCAAAATTTTCAACCCGCACCCGAAGTCTCGAGTCTTTTATTTAGATTTTCTCGTTTTTACAATGATTAAGTATAATTGCTGCTAGGCCCGAAATGTGTGCACGCTCTCGTAGAAATCACAGGGCGTGGGAGGGAACGCAAAACAGCACATTTTCAGCGCCATCATTGCCGGGGAGTAGGAATGCGACGACGGGTAATAATAAGTGAAAAAGACGAAAATCTAGAGCAAAACTCCAACATCCATAGACCGGGACCAGTACGGGAGCGACGCGATGTCGGTTGCTGTGAGTTTCGGAACGATGCAGTTGAGCAGTGGGCGAAATTAATGTGGAATGGACAGATGAACGGCTTTGGACTGGATGGAAATAGAAAATTGCGGGCGAGCGTGCGTTAGATTTTATATTTTTTTTGTGGAGACGCGTGGTGGTTGAAATATCAAGGAAACTGGTATTTATCGAGAACATGTTTTCGATTGTCTGTTTCAAGCAAATTTTCTCACTATGGGATTTGACAAGTATGGCAGTACCCTGTTAATTGGGCCATACATTTATAGCCCATACAAAACCAATAGGCCTATTTTACGCGGCGTGTGAGATGAGGTAACTCGCTGTCACTAGTGGAGTGACAATTGCCACTTGGGAAAATGGGCCTAATACGCATATTGCGCTTGTATTGCATATCTTACAGCTGTCGCTTACACCGCATGTGGGTGCTAGGCGTCTTTTTTGAGGGTATGAGTGAAAAATAGTTGAAAGCAGAAAAAATGGCCGCTTAGGACCCCTGTGATTTCAAATTAAATGGATGAGTTGATATGATGAGCAAGCAGCAATCGGAATATTGAAGCAACCTGCAAGCCTCTGTACCAAAACGTTAAATCCCATAGGTACCAGAACGTCAAAATCGAAGTCATGTAGGGGACAGCACCCCAGATGAGTTATGCGAGAGATTTATTTTCTTTCGGTGACAATAGCATTTATTGATTAAAATTAATAAATTCAGTAGAAGGACCATTTTGACATTTGTTTCGTGATCATTTTTGCGTTCGTTTTGGTGTCATTTTTAAAAAATGTTTATGGATAATTATGGAAATACATTTATGGATAAATGTTTATGGATATTTTTTATAAATAATGTATGCAAAGCGCCAGAACTTTTCAAAACTCTAGGGATTGTCTTCAAGTTTCAAGTTTTTCTAGTCGTATTAAAATTAAGTTAGTTCTAAGTCTTACAATCCTCTGATTTTCCATTCCCGGACCTTTTTAATTAATTTATATACTCATATGCTTGTATTGAGCAAGTCAAACGCGCACTTTTTTGCCTATAAATTTTAATAAATACTTCAAGTCTCCTCATCCATTTATGTGTGAATTAGGTAAAAAAGTGTGCGTTTGACTGGTACTGTCGCATTAATGGTCTTTCGCTCATTTTCAACTTCTATGCATTTCCAACCAACTCTGAAAACGAACTGGTTACATTTACAGATAAAAATTCCCTCAACAATTTTCAGTTGCTTCACAGCTAACGGGTGTTCAATAAAAAATGAGAATTTTTTCAGTCATATAGCTAGTAAAAAAAATTTCAACGAATTCAGTATTTTTTACGTCGATGAATATTGGAGAAGGGGCCCTGGTCAGCCGTACGACGCAACTTAGTCGCGATGCTCTCACAAGAGCGCTAGACGGCACTGAAATCATTCTCATTTTTTATTGAACACCCGTTATATAGAGGAAATGGATGTAATGTCGGCCTAAATGCCCCTAATTTGGGCCCATACATAAATTCAGATATCGACTAAATTTTCAATAACGACCAAAAATATCCATTAATACCGTCCCAATGACGCGTTCATCTAGATAAAATTGATAAATAGCAGATTTTTAGTGATGGGCCGAATCATAGATCCGTAGGCCGATTTACCTACGTCATGAAACCTCTGTTGATTTGTTTCATGAAAAACGAAACTATCAAAGTCTAGGGCTCTTTCATTCGTCCACTTCACTGAAGCGACAAGAGCGATTGAAAATTTGTTTGTAGACGCCGACTGAGATTCTATAATGCTGCGAAGCTGTTCAACTTAAAAAAGAAAGTCTTCGTCTCTGATATTGTGACGCTCTTGTAGTGCATGCCCCTCGTGCAGAGATCTTCAAAAAAACTTCGAGATTTTTATAAAAGTTCATGGATCTTTAGGGAAGATCCGAGGACTCCACGAATGTTGCTTGAATATTTGGAATATGTGGGAACATTTCAAAACAGATTCGTAAGCTCTAAAAACTCTGGAGCTCCAGGAAAGTTCAATGAATTTCAGAAAATTTTCAGGACTTTAGAGATGTTAAAACAATGTTTGAGTTCTTCACATAAGTTCAGTGAACTTCACGTAAGGTAAGACATTTTAAAGCAGTTTAACTAAATACATGGCAGTACAACAAACTTCACTAAAACTGCAAAAATGTTTGATAAGTTTCTACTTCTTCTTCTTCTTTTTTCTTTTATTTAACGTCAGTCTCTGTTCCGCAATCTAGTGCCAATCACCGACGGACATCGATTGCCATCCATTGACGGCAATCGAATGTGCAGAAAGGCAGCTTCCACACCTGCGTAGGATATCGCACCCATCCAACACACATGAACCGAGACCAACGGCTTTACTTCTCTTCCGAAGGAAGACGTGACCAGAGATTTTTATGCCTCAGAAAAATCCCACCAACATCGGCTGGGATTGAACCCAGACCCATTCGGGTGAGAAAGCAGTCACGCTTACCACAACACCACCGGCGCCGTCAGAGATAAGTTTCTAGACTTTCAGGAAAGAACAGAGAACCTCAGAGCAGTCCAATAAACTTTAGATAAATAACATAAATTCTAAAAAAAAATCGAGAACTTCAGCGAATCGTTAAAACACCATTAGATACAATCGTTAAAACACCATTCTCACTTTTAATTTGACATTAAATTAATTGATATAACTTCATTACAGCCGGAGATAGGGGAAATGGCTCTAATTCTGCACTCATACTCATACGCCGAGATTCCAACAGCCGAGTAGTTCTGCAATTTATTTTGCTGAGATTCAGTAAAACATTTGCCGAGACTCAGCTAACAAAAAAATATTTTGTTAATACATCAGCAAAAGTAAATGCCAAGGTAATCGGCTGTTGGAGATTTTACCGAGCTAGATTAAGTGTGAACAGATGTTTGTTTATTGGTTTATTGCTATGATGTTGGTCTTTATTGGAGGAGCCTGTATGAAGTTAGATTTATTTTAGTAAAACACTCGATTTTCAACTTTTTACCAAGTGGACGAATTTTAGTAAAAATAGTGGCAGATGAATGATCTTTACTACAACTTAATATGAACAAAATTTCAAGAAGTTATGTTCATTTTATTTCTAGAAAATAAGGTTTTTCAAGAAAAAGGCATTTTCTTAAATTGCGCTAACTTTTTGTAAACTCAACCAAACATGCCCAATACTGAGCCAATAATCGATAAATGTATGCTGAAAGCTGCCAAAAATTCAGAGACGAATCTTTTTAACTTGTGCTTTTAGAGCCGTTTTTCTAAAATTTAAGTAGGGTAAATGACGACTTCGGCAATACCTTATTCTATTATCGTCAGGGGGTAAACAACATCCTAGAGAGTTCAATTTTGGCATGTGGATACATTGTGTTTCAGAGCATCTATTGGCCAAATTTGTGTACTCTAGGACTTTGTTTACCCTCTGACGATAATAGGTTAAGGTATTGCCGAAGCCGACATTTCTCCTACTGCTGTACGATCAATGTTGAGATACACTGTATGTATCTAAAAAAGTAACGAAAATGGGACATAATACATATTAAACAAGCGGTAATACATTGTCGGTGAAAGGGATTGAAAGTCATGAGGTTTCGTTTCAACTCGATAATCGACGTTACTTTCATTGAAAGCAACGACGTGGAAATCCACAGCGTTATAGAAATTATGCATTGAACGTGTTGTATGAAAGAAACAAAACTCGAGTTCAATTTAGAGCTTCAAAAATGTAGAGCCCTGCCCTGCGCACTAGTCTTTCAATACTACGCAGCCTGCTGATCAAATATTTAAAATTTAGCCATTACTGCATTCCTTTAAATACACTCTTAATTTCATTAAATAATTTAATTATCGACCAAATATTATATTTTAATTATTTTCCATTACATAATCGTTAATTATTTGATGATTACTTTCAATACCGCTAAAAATATTTAAATTCAATTAAAATCTTCAAAGTGTTTAAACTACTACGGTCTATTTTAAATGTCACGCACTCATACCTGGACATGCACGCTCCTCGTCTCTTGAGTTCTGTGAAGCTTTTTTTATTTTTTTCTGAAATGTCTGTACCAGGGCTCTACATTTTCGAAGCTCTAAAATGAACTCGTGTTTTTTTTCTCTAATACATACGTGTTCGACGCTTCATTTCTATAACGCCTAGCTAGACTATCAGCAAGAAACGAAAATAAAAAAGCAGGACGCTTAGAAGGAAAGGCTGGCTGTGGAACTTCTCGTCGTTGCTTTGCTCATCGCTTTCAATGTAACTAACGTCGATTTTCTAGTTAAACGAACCTCATTATGGCTTTCAATCCCCTTTCACGAACACTCTATCACCGATCTTTCAATTTGTTTAAAATGCGTGATGTCCCGTTTTTGATCATTTTTTTTAGATAAATATATGGATGGAAGATAAATTAAACATATTACGTGTAATCTTCACGTGTTTTCACGTGAGAAATGCTTTAAATGTGTTATTTCATTTTCCGTCATATACGTCATGAAACCTCTGTTGATGTGTTTCATGAAAGAGAAAACTATCAAAGTCGAGCGCTCTTTCGCTCATCCGTTTCACCGAAGCT